TATGTATTCTTTCTTGATAAGCTTGCACGAGGTTGATAAATATATATTTATTTTCGGCTAACGTTTCGACGTCTTCGTCTTTCTCAGAGCCGATGATCCGAGTCGATGGTCCATGATTGTTGTTCGTCTCGACGTTGCAGCTTCGCCTTCGTGTCGAGCCAGGTCTTCCTCAGTGAGCCATCTTGAGCCACTGAGTGAGGATGCCTTACTCGAGAAGATGGATGCTGAGTGGATAGTGAAATAAATATATATTTATCAACCTCGTGCAAGCTTATCAAGAAAGAATACATAACAATTAACTATCCATCAAATTACCGGCCAAGCGACGGACTCATTCGATAAAGTGCTTCTTTTATAATTCTTGTGCAGAGTAGAATCGAGGAGCTATCGATTAACTAAGGTACCGCAAAAAAACTCTACAGGTCAAAATACACGGCCGAAAATAACATAAAGAAAGGATATAGCTCTCGGCGTTGATCAATCCCTAAACGATGCGCCGTGTATTTGACTTCATTAAGCATCGTTTGGAGGCGACCGAATTCATATCTGGCCTTTATACAATGACTCGCGGTGGCATACCGATGTATCGAGCCAGTGCTGCTATCCTCCTAGACAAGTCTGGTACCAATTTGCCGACTCCGAAGGGATGGAACGCTTGGTGGGCCATGGACGCGTGGATCGATTCCACGTGTGTGTTTCTCGACGCCTCCGAGCACTACGTCACACGACCGACGGTAAGGTGCACCAAATGTAATGCAATTTGACCAGTTTGCTTGCAAACGCGTGCATCATATTTGATGCATCTCGGTGACAATAAGTTGAGAAACTTTGAGGAAAATACCAATTATAATTTCAACTTATTATTTACTTCCTACTCTTTTTAACGGCAGGGTATTTATTGTGAAATATAACTTCAACGATGCTGGGATAATTGCAAAACTCCGGACCGCAGGTGTATGCGGTGGGGAACGAACATGCGCTGTTGTCCTTACCGGGGAGCAGCGCACTTCACCACCACACCATCCGGCTCCTTCGTTTTGCCTGTCTCTCAGCTAGTTCTTTCCCCAGATCAATCCCGTTGACGGGTGATTGCTAATGGCAAAAGACCGATAGAACTAGCTGAGAGACAGGCAAAACGAAGGACCCGGATGGTGTGGTGGTAAAGTGCACTGCTCCCCGGTAAGGACAACGGTGCATGTTCGTTCCCCACCGCATACACCTGCGGTCCGGAGTTTGCAAATATCTCAGCATCGTTGAAGTAATACCAATTATTTTTAACTTTTAGCTACTACCTATTGTTTTTTACGGCAGAGTATTACGAGAAATACAATCACAATGATGTTGCGACATTCGTAAAACTCTGATCCCGTGTCGGCTTCGAATCCGTAATTACCAAGCAAAACATAGTGATTCCGACTGCAGTTTCAGTTTAAGTGGATTCAACGTCGCGTTTCCCCAGATCAATCCCGTTGAAAATTGATTACTGATAGAACCGTAAGGATAAACACTCTCTGAGAAAAAGACAAAGTAAGGGGCTCGATGGATAAGAAGTCGGCTTCGGAAAGAGTAATAGTGGGTCTCTAGTTTTGCTCATATCCCAAAATATCAGTTAGTGCTGCTCGTTTGTTTCTTCTAATATTGCGCCGAGCTTCTTACCACGGGATTGCTTTAGTATTGGCAGGTCTATATAAATACTTGATACTTGATACTTGATAATTGAACGGCCCATCATCACTAGTTGTGCGGGCCCTGTCATAATCACCATTTCTCAGAGGTTTGCTGGTTAAGCCATTGTGGTTCCCTGGAATCCCGAGGACAGCCTGGCCAAAGTCTGCCCCAGGTCGTCACCAAGACAGCCAGTCGCAGCCCTTGTGGAACAGAGAGGGACTTACCACCATGTGACTTTGATACCAAGACGGTGGCGGATCCTGGTATTGGTTTACTCCTAGTTAGGCTTCCTGATGGAAACGCCGGACTCCTCAGCTTGGCAGACCCTGCCGAGGTGACGAATCCCAGCGCTGTGCATCGCAGTTCGATACCCAGGAACACCTCCTAGCCACGATGAGGCGGTAAAAAGTTGGGAGGAGCCAGTCTACATATTACGCAAAAACAGTGTGTTTCAACATTTCACCCTCACTTCAATGATTCTTTTGAATTTATGTTTATTACCTGCATTTAAGTGCAATAACACCTTAGAATATTTGAACATGAACGCTCAAAGAACATACCTGTAACTCTCATCACAACATCGCCTAGCTTTTCACACGGCACTTATCAGAATACGAAGTTCCAGGTTAACAGATAACCGCTGGAAACGCGTTATTCGAAAAACTGGAAAACTTTCATTATGTCCGCAACCACTCACTTTCGCCTAGTTGTAGGCCTTCGATGTTACCTTCACAGAAACGACTATGAGTGCCTCCGACGACCACGGCATGCTTACGGGGTACACAAATTTCTGTGAATAGCAGCTTCGCAACGAGAATTTCGCCATTTTACAATGAAGTTGCCGTAGGTGTAAAGTGGAGGGTTGAAAACATCACGATAATGTCATGCCAAAATTATTTACAGCCGCTCACGGAAGCGTTATGCAGGAAATGGAATAGCATAACATTGAAGAAAGATGTGTAGTGAAACCAAAATAAGGAAACTAAAATATTAAATAATGCAGTACAAGCCTATGGCAGGCAGCGACTATATCTTAGCTTTCCTCCTTCGCCTCGTCTTTTACCACAAAATTGACCAAACGAAGTGAACACGAATGAATTTGGTGTTAAAACTTGATTTACTGGCATTAACCAGAGCTTAAAACAAACTTTATTAACTTCGAGAAACACATTAGAATCCACAAGTCTTCCTTAACCAAATGCTTTCATATTCTACTATGACAATGTTCACTTTCTGAAGCACACGAAGCCTTCTTTTTTCACATTTTTCATTTTTGTATTGAGTACTATATTCGGAAAAGAATGTGATTGAAAAAGCGAAGTTCGCCAAGAGGGACCGATGATATCACCAATGCATCATTTGGTGGTACCGCACTTACGTGGGAAACATTAAAAGCTTAAATTTATTCCTCGATTTTCTTTTGCGATTTTGATTCGTAAGAAAATCTGGTTCTAGAGCTGACGAAAAGAAAAGGACCTCGGTAACAAGGTTGTGAAACAAAGACCATCGAAGGGCGTATCTTACGAACGTGTCAACGATGTAAAACAAGGAAATCAAAGGTAAACCCCGCTCCGTGTTCAACTTTAAGCACTACTCCCTTATCCTGCAAACGTCTGGGAAAGTTGATCGCAACGGAAGTAAAATGAAAGATCACTACGCGTTTTTGAAAGGATCGTGCAATTGGGAGGGAAATCTAAAAGTGAGGGAGAAGGAAATGCACAACAGAGCAAGCATCGATTCGGTACGGGCACGCAAAAAGAAATGATGTTCTTCCACTCCAAAGAGCAGAACTCATTTAGTAGCTCTGCACACAGAAAGAAACAATGAAGAGTTTGTTTGTTGAGCCACTCGATAAAGCAAACCGGTTCATCGGTGACATAGGTGGTATTTTTAGGCATTTCGTAATTCTACCGTTATTGAAACCAGCGTATGCTCTCCTGTGGAAAATTACCAATAGACTCCACCAAGCTGAATTTCCATCTATCCACTTCACATTCCAATTGTGAGCCGCTTGGTTGGAGAAATCTACTAAGAGATGTGAACCACGTGTTGGTGGGAAAGACATTTCGACACCTCGAAGCGAGGGAACCAGTGCCGGACAAGACAACTCCTGTAGAACAAGCACCCTGGATCTGGATCGTAACTGAAATTCCGTTACGCGACAACTCCATGTGAATGATTGCTGTCTTCCCACTTGTTTTGCTACGTTTGATGACTCATGTGACAATGTTTGGTTAAATTAGTGGGGCATCAAGGCAAATCAATCAGATGTATAATAGAAAAAACACCGAAAGTACTGATCTGCTAATCAAGTGACCTTCTGCTTGTTTTATAAATAATACCCTTTCTTTAGACTATTGTAAAATGAGCCGCTGTGTAGTACTTTTGGATTTTTAGTTTGTAGTCGGTTACTTAAATAGCTCGTTGATCTGTGCGCATTGCGTTATATGAATAAAACTTCTGAAATAGAAAACTACCTCGTTGAAAAAGTTTTCTTCTTAAAGATTATGGCGATTGATAATACTTTTCAACCAGAGTAACATAGAGGCCCAAAGCCTGCATTATCTAAGTAATGGTTTTGGTGTGTGACCTTCGATATAGTAAATAATCGAATGGGAACGGGGATGCAACTTTAAAAGACCTTTTCCATACAGCATTGCCATTAAAAGTGCTTTCGATATTCGATGATGCACAAAATTTTCAGTAAAATGCTTTATTACAGTCCCATGAACTACGATATTTATCGTAGATAAACTGCAAAGTGTAGAGAATCACGGCCAACTTAGTGTGTGAATCGTGACACGAACACAGCCGATCTAGGTGGGCACGGGCAATATGCGGCGTCGTGTCCTGGCAGACCAGGGCCTCCTGGGGTTCCTGGGCGGCCATCACCACCTGGCAGTCCAGGGGCGCCAGGTTGTCCAGGAGGACCCTGAGGTCCAGGAGCACCATCCTGTCCTGGCTGTCCGTTAGGTCCAGCGTTTCCTGGCGCACCTGGCGCGCCAGCGGGTCCGGGCAATCCAGGCTGTCCACGTCCATGAGTGCCATCCTTACCAGGGGCACCAGGCTCTCCGTCAACACCGGGAGATCCTGGAGCTCCGGCGTCTCCGGGTGGTCCTTGAGGTCCAGGCTGTCCATCGAGACCGGGAGTCCCAGCAGAACCAGGCAAGCCATCAGGTCCAGGATTCCCAGACGGTCCATCAGGTCCAGGTGGTCCAGCGGCTCCTGCAGGACACTTGACACATGAGCGGTCAAATGGTGGGCAAGTGAGAGGAGCGTAGGTGAGAGTGTTGTCTTCACCTGGAGGTCCGGGTGGACCAGGTTGTCCTGTAATCCGATAAATTGAATCTGTTTGAAGCGATAAAATTTTCGCGTAAAAAGAAATACTGCAGTAAGAACTAACCAGGTTGTCCTGGCGTTCCAGGTGGTCCGGGAGGTCCGGGTGGACACACCGGTTTAACCGGCTCGCACTGGCACCAAGCAGGCAAACTGGAGAAGTCTTGTCTCTTCTGACGGAAGATCGAATTAAAGGGATTTTGACGAGGTTTCGTTGGTGGTGTTACAGTGATTTGGATGTCCATCATTTCGGTCCAAGCTGAGTCAGTCTCAACACGAAAAACGGAAACACCATCGAGGACTTCATCATGCACCTCGTTGATGGTGTTGTAGAGTGAGGGGACGACCACCAAGCAAGCAACGATGGCGAGAGTAGAGCAAGCCGAAGCTATGCCTACGATCAGCTTCTCCTCAAACATCCTAGCACACTGGCGTTAGTCTTCTGCGAACAACTTTTATAGCAATTCCTTGGCCACGCCCATCGTCAGCATCTGGTTCGCGTTTGGAGGGGGGTGAGAAACTCAGCACAGTGGTCATGGTTTCAAAAGATCTGGTATAGCTAGTGGTTATAGACGTACTCATGTTGCAGACGTCATAAGAATATTGCATATTTGTCTTCACTTTTTGATGAACTGGTTGTACTAAATGTGTGCACTTTAATGTCACTGAAATATACAGTTTTGGAAAGCGGCCAACATAAAGCATTCAAAAGCTGGAATTTCCTGAAAAATGTGCCATGCTTTAAAAAGTTTAGTATTCTTGTAACAGATCGAAAGCGCATTCTTTGGTTTTCCTCACACGTGTTAGAAATTGTGTTTCTTGCGCCTATTTTTTTCTTTTGCTTTTGGAGATGGGGAGGGGTGTTTGTTCTTCTAATGTCGTAGACTCACGTCGATTATTGTGTGCAATGCAGACGGTCATTTTATAGAAATAGCCGACAGATGAAATCCCTCATTAAACTGAACGTGGATGCGAAAAGTGTTCTGTCTGATATGAAATTAAAAAACTACACTTTCATGCTATGAGAGATAGAGAATAATGCATTCGAACTCATCACTATACGCTGTTGTATTTTACTGTTTTCTGTAAGCTGTTTAGTCGACCTTAATCGTGTATCCAAACATTCGAAATTATCTGTGGGAATATGGGAATGGGTGGAAGTGAGGGGAAAATTGCTTGAAAGCGATCATATGATTCCATCTAGACGTGCATTTCATGCTGAATGACTTGTTCGTGCGATCACCCGCGATCGGATCCGGTTGTTCACGAGAAAACAACCACCTCGACAGCTACTTTTCAACGTATCTCATCCTGTTTCAATATTTACGGTAACTTCAAAGTCACAAGATCATGCGATTAGGAATCTCAAAATAAGTGTCGAAACAGGAAAATCTACTGACTTCGAGGTAATGCTGTCTGTCTGCCAGCCTATAGTGCTTTGTGTTTCGTTGTTTTTGTTCTGTTGGGCATCGGAGCTGTTTAGCTATCCTCTATTTATTTGTAAACTCATGGAACTCGTTTCTTGATTTCAAAATTACAAGACAGAAAGATACTGAATAGTTTGGTTGACCAGCGACCAATTTTTCTACAATTGTTTTATTTTTTTCCGCCTACCTTTAAATCTGTTCCAAGGACATTGGAGCTGTTTGGCAAATTTTTACTTGAAAAGTCATAGAACTTGCTCAATAATTTTTAACATCACAAGAGCAAAAATTGTACAATAGTTTGCCGATTCACTGATTTGTTATTTTGGAATCTGGTTGACATGACTGTTCAAAACTGAAAAACCGAAGCGGAACCTCGTCATGAATCACATCAGTCGTTTTTCTTACCGAACACATCGCTTCCTGCTCGTTATAAAACTCTTAAAGCCATTCACTTTTATCCGCTCTATACGATACCTCATCGAAAGAAATGCAATTAGAGAAAGAAGACACTTTCGTTTATTGCGTTTTGGCTGTAGAACTCGCACTCGCAAACCACCCAACGCTTCTAATTTCATCATTAGGGATTTCATAAAACCATATTCTAGAAGAACTTTGCCATGTTGCTTCTCATCGCTATAATCCTCTCTCTTCGCCGGACTACAGCATAGCAGTCCTGTTTAAAAAAGAAAAGTAGCAAAATACTAGGATTGCCTTTTCAAGTGAAAATACTTCATAAGTGCTCTCTAGAGATGAATGCAAGGAGAGGAAAATCCTACATAGGTTTATTTCCTAATTGCTGATCATCATACCGTTACGCAATTCTTTTGGACTATTGCTGCCTTGCTATTTTGGATATCTTGCTGAACCTTTTAAATAATTTCATAAATTTCCCGGTAGCCGTTTATTCCTCGAAGGATGCCGTATGTGGTACAATAGTAACGTCTCTCCGTGACTTAAGCGAACTGGCTGGTACAACATCGTTAACCCGACAACTAATACACTAATAAATCCGCAGTAAAATGAAGATCTCCGTGGGCTGTATTAGAGCTGGAATGTGCATTTTTCTGCATCGTCATAGAACGAGATTCGATCCAATAAAACTGATAAAACCCGTCATTCACTTCGAAGTGGTACATTTCATCGTTTCGGCTGTGATCTATACTACCCATCCAGTAGATCACAAAAAGATCCATTATTGGGAACACGATTAGGAACATTTTTCTACCAGAGCTGCTTTTTTCCTCTGAAAAGAAGTACCGTAGTGCTTCCATAATGATGAAATAGGAGCATTTTCTCCAGGTTCCCTGAAAATACCATCTTTCAATACCACTCATTTATCACTATTTCTTTCGCATACACCTATTCGACGTGTTAGAATAAAGTACGAAGTAAGTATGAACTAAAAAATTGACATGTAGTTTCACCCACATACATGGCTTGTGGCTGCTGTTTTCCTAAATGGCTCTGTCATTTTACTCCACTAAGGCTGGTATTTTCCAAAATTTGTTGTTTCGCGAAGCTGGTTCTCTCCAATAGGTCACTCTTCTTCTTATTCTTGAATCACGAACGCAGACACCTCCGCAATCGGATTTTCCGGGCAAAAAACTTATCTCGGTCACTCTATTAACATTAGTGGTTTTTGTTTAGCAATTTTGGCTGAAGACCTTTTTTACAGTCTCTCTTCCGTTGTAAACAAGCGGCCGCTTGAATCTGATGACCTTGCACCGTTTTCGCATCACGTTGTGAATTTATTCAAGGGCATCGACATTTCGATCGAAAGGACCTTGATGCAATGTATAGCGACTGTCTCATTATCGAAGGAATGCGTTGACAAACACAACTTCGAGCAGGGTGTTCATATCCGTGTCAATGGTAGCCTAATCCATAACCTTCAATCTTTCCTTGATCTCCCGGTTTTAGAAAAGCCAGCTTTAAAAAATAAATGATGAATTGGAGGAGGAGGACATGACAAATTCCAACGCCGAATGCTAACAACTAGCTCCCGAACAAAGGACGGAGAAAACAAAGGACGATAGATCTTCCCTAACATCACATAATCTTAGATTTTTCAAATACAGGAGACGATTTTCCTATGAAGAGATTCTTTATTAATATTTATGAATATTTAAATAAGATTTGAATTTTTCTGAATATTTGCTAATAAGCATACTGTTGCCTCTCAATGTCCGCTCTTAATGGAACAGTATGGTTCCTCATGAAGGAACTTGGATAAAGTTATAAAGCATTTTATTAGACGTTTCATAGGTTGAGCTTCTCAGAGCCGCTTCACAAGTGGATCTTCGGTTATTTATGTTGAAGGTAAAACTTCAACGGTACAACAGTCGCCATTATGGTTTATATAATACCTCGTTCGAAACATAGCCAAATATCAGACTACCAGGGAATGGCGGACAGTACTCAAAAGAAATCCTTCGATGAAATCACTAAGTACTTAAAGCCTTGAGGGATAAAAACACTTAAATATAATAACAAAGTCATTCCTAGGATTGGAGAATAGTAAGTAAATAATTCTCATTGAAACAGTTATAGATAGCTGAAGTATAGCTAAACTCCAATGAAAGTTTGAAAATCATTTTTTCTACAGTTATGATTTGGCTGCAATACTTGACAATTTCTTTACCGCTTTCATTCATTAATCTACAGCTGACAGCGTTATGGTTGACATACTCAGTCTTAATCGGATCAAAACATGGCACACATAATTCACGACGCAGGTGGTAGCCGGGTAGTTGCTATCCAGTTTACCATGCGGAGAGTCCAACATACCCAAGCGCTGATTCAACTCCGCTGCTGCCTATTCAAGCCTCTAATTCCGAAGGATCTGGTTAATTGGTACCAGACTATTTTGGGACAAGCTGACTCCTTCCAGTCCACGCGAGGCCCCAGCATGGCTATCTTAGTATTTCAGGAAAATTCGACCTCACCAGCATTCAAGGATATTCATTTAAAAAAATCCTGGAGCAAAAGCCGAAAACACACGGAAAAAAATCCGACGGCCTTCTTGGGCAGTGGTTCCGAGGAAATGGGTCGAATGCGGAAAATCTAGTGATCCGCGCAATGTGGTATATGTGGTGTTAGGTCATATAAGGCTAATTAAGAAAACATGGTCTCAGTTGAAGCATTCTTGGATTATTAAGCTAACATAAGGTTGATGAAGTTATATTCAACTAACTTTTCGACGTCCTCGCCTTCTTCAGATCCAATGATCTCAGTGGTGGTAAGGCTGTAAGCCTCATAGAAAGTTTATCAAGGATAAATATTTGCTTTATGATTATCAAAGATGTTTTCTTGCTTTGCGCTTATGCGAGCAATAACAGCAGAAATCGAACAGTATCTGAGGTCAGCATACTGAGTAGTCTGCTTGATCCAGCATTACCAGGTTAGTATGAATCTATACAGACATAAATTAGACGATTTTATCAAGGCAGTATACAACATGATGAATCATTGATATGGTTTATAATCCTTGGAAATTTGGAAATTTTGTGAATTCCTTGCTCATTTCAACAAAGGGGCGTGGTTGTGGTGATTCCTACTTGACGGAAGGGGTTTTCGTGCTTGGATTTCTTTCCCAATGAATTAGTCAATTTGCAGATCGTCGAATGTAAAAACTCGTCCTGAGATCTCTTCATTATTCGTGAAAATCGTCTCCACCACCAGCTCTTACGAGTGAATTGACAGCGAGATAAAGACGGCATGTTATTCAGCTTGAGTTGGCAGAATTCCAAAGAAGCGGAAATCTTTTCATTCGTAATCGAACGAAAACGAGAATTTTTATTACCATGGATCACTAACTCAACAGAAAAGCGTTCATTTTTCTTCTACAATGAGTCACCGACTGTCTTCTTTGGAAATGTTTCAAACGCAAACGCATTTGTGTAAAGCCAGAAATCACGAATGAACGTCATACATTGTAGACATCCTTGTGAAATTCCTACTTCTGCTTGCTTTTACCCTTTTTGCATTCAGTT